GTATTTATTAACATTGTATTCTGATTGTCGTAGTGTGTTTTATATTATTTCAACGTTATGTCTACATAATGTGTTTAGTTCGAGACATAAATTTATTCATAAAGTAGAGCAAAGTAGTATACATAATCCTAATTAAAGTAATGAAATATAAATTTGTACTTTATTTAAAACTAAATTGACAATCATCAAAAAGCCAATATCACAACTTTATTACAAAAACAGCTATACAACATAATATGACAAACATAATATTCTACCACCTCTCCTTTATGGTTGTTCTAGGTAGGTATTCCCTTGTCATTCAAACTTTATTCCAAACTCTTTTGTACAAGTTTTTAAAGTTTGTTTAGAGAAACTGCCAAGTTCTTTTTAAACTTTTATGCTTTAATTTAGATGAATCTTTCAATCTTATTTCTTACAAATTCGAGCCTTTTGTCTATGTGTTTAGATATCTGTGAAATAACTTAATTTTCTCCAAATTTTAAGAGTATAATGTAATACACTTCGTAGAATTTGAGATTATTTCTTTCTTAATGCCATATACTCAGTATCTAATATAGAAACAGTTAACTCCAAGAAACTGTTTCATCTGACAACCGAAAAACAGCCCGTAGTGACACGACAACGGTTGACTGTATCATTGACCCAGTCACAGTCTGAAAAACCTATTAAATATTTATCATCTTTCTTTAATACCAATTTCTTGTAATTTTCTAAACTTAAATGCGTCATAATACGTTTCTAATTCTGCTTATGTACTTTATCTAAATTGCTGCAATAATACCTATATGTGCTAAATTAAGGTCAGTTGCATTTGAAGCATAAAATAGACTAGCGATTACTTAACGATGTCGAATATTCTCTACATCTTCTTCCTTTCTTATTCATATTTTGTCACTGACATATGAGATGTAAGAACTTTATTAGAATCAATGGGAGTATAGATACTTTTATAGTTACTCATTTTATATCTTCAGGGTATATCCGTTATACATTTTTGATATTCGAGAAACTGAATCATCTTCTTTCTTTTCAATTCTCATTCCCAAAGAATAATGTGCCTCTATCTTAAAATGTTTTATGAGAATATCTGTTCTATTGCACTTTTAATTGTCATCAATTGAGAAAATTAGAATATCGTCTATTTATACAACAAAGCTGTGTTCAGTCAGGTATATCTAAGAAGGTCGCAACATTGGAGTCCATTTTCGACGCCATTTTTTTCGAAATAGTAGTTGCCCAATGATCTGGCAACGTGGCTTACCAATATAAGAAAAAACTCAATGTTTTTTTTAAATGACATTTTCATTATAAAATACCCATATTTTTTAGGTTAAAATATTTTAATTTAATAAATTATTAATAATCTCACATGTACATAGAATACGCCGTGAAAAGTAGATCACTTTCAATTTTGTGCTGTTTTGGTTTATTTTAAATAGTAATTGAGGATATAAAAACAATTTTCTTATAGATGGGGATGCATAACAAATTATGGCTTCCTTTTTTAGAGCTCCAGTCCCCTAAGTCTATTTATTTTAGGTCTTTTTAAATTGTTGGTGGGTATTATTCACTTCATTTTTATGTTTTTATTTAATTTAAATAATTTTGTTATATATCTTGCGATTTGTTTTCTATACATTTTAGCATGTATTTGTAGGCTACATCTAACAAAGGATAGCTTTGAAATGCCTTTACAACAGAGGTAGGTACTTTCCTAAAACTGGCCGAAATTTGAAACTGAATACAGTTCTTAGAGAAAATCTCCAGTGAAAAATGTCTGCATGCAGAATAACAGTAGCATGGATTAACAAAGCTGACAAAAGAGTTGGACAAACCTTTGTCAAGCTTTTTTAATATTTTAGGACAATAGTGTTAACAGCAGACCACAACAATAACAACCAAAGTTTAGTAATCAAGCAAAATATTTCAGTATCTTCAGAGAATTATAAACGTATGAAAATTATAATAGGAAACATGTATGGCTTCGAATAGGAAATTACCTAAATTAGCATATCTAGTGAATATTGTATTTAAAGAATATATTTTTGTATCACAACTTTTGTGCTTCTACTCCAATACTAACCATATTACCATATAGAAATGCATATGCATTTTATAGTATTAAGCAAGATTCGGATCAAATGTACCCACAATTTATAAATATTATTAAACTAAAATAAAACACCTGTTTTTTATTTTAATAAAACATGTTAAATATATGTTTTTATTAAATACATAAATAATTTTCAACCACACTTTTTTTTTGTTTTTACTTCTAGTGTAAAAGTGACTACTAATTCACAGTCTTTCAAGTTTATTATTTAAAGAGACCAGCTACTACAAAACATTCTATTGATGATAACTAGTTTCTTTCAATAATGGTTTTGCATTTATCAAAATTTTACAGCACTTTGTTTATATGAAACATCTATTTAGCTCCCAATTAAATCACATTTAAATCAAGTAATTACATTTTCATATTTAACTTGTATGTATTCTTATTATAACTTATTCACTTTTTTTTAATTTGAATTTTTTGATTGTGATAACTGAGTCCATTTACCAAACCACAAACTTAGTCACTTAAAAATGTTGAAAGAGAATGTCAGAAAGGTAAAATTCCTTCTTCTATGATGTTTTTGATGCAATTTTAGGTTGCAAACGTTTTGTCCAACACCTTTTTTACAATTTATCCCAAGCAACACTATAAAAGATTTAAATCCTGGATTTACAACATTCAGTTTTGAGATGAGTGCAGCCACAATGCAGTTTCAGAGATAATTTTCACATGAACACTTATTTACCACAGCAAAAACGCATGTACCTATTCACATGTAACATTAAAATAAAGTTAAAACAAATTGCATAATTCGGTATATAAAAAAGTATTAGTTATAAATTGATTTTAAATAGGTCAATATGTAGATGGCGCTGCGCTCAATATTTTTTTTTGATGGGAGGATCTTTCTTATGTAGCGCATCTTGTAAAAAAATGCATTTTTAAGCAAATTTTGTTTTATGAACTAATTCGATAAATCCAGCCATTTTTGATATACAGAGTGGGTCACTCAAAACAGTTTCATCCTGTTTTTCAGCATTAATCATTGAATTTTTAGAAAATGCTAAAACAGTTCGATTTTTATTCCAATTTAAACACATTTTTACAATACAGACATCTGTCATGTGTCAACCCCCTTCCTTCCACTTCTCAACCCCTTAATTTTAAATAAGGAATGTACCATATTCGGCACATCATTAAAAAGGTAACTTTATGGGGAAGTCAGAAATATGACAGTTTATTGCGATACTTTTAGCACCCTCTATAGGGATAAGAAAATCTGTAATGTATTATAAAGTGTGACACTTCATTTGAAAGCTAATTTAATTACTAATTCAATGCACCACATAACATTAATATAAATATTTCCATATTGCACTTGCAACAAAATAAAGTTAGCAATAATGTTTAAAATAATGCATGACTAATTTTCAAACCATTGCAAGTGCAATATGGATATTTATATTATGTTATTAATTAATGTTATGTTATTGAATTAGTAATTAAATTTGCTTTCAAATAAGGTGTCACACTTTAAAATACGTAGCTTTTTATCCCGATAGAGGGCGGTACAATTAAAAGTATCACAATAAACAGTCATATTTCTAAATTCCCCATAAAATTACCTATTTAATGATGTACTACACATTGTAGTATCATACTCTATAATACGTAGTAGTTTTTTATCCCGCTAGAGGGTGCTAAAATTTAAGTAACGTAATGTACAGAAATATTTCTAAATCCCACATTAAATTACCTTTTTAATGATGTGCCATACATGATACATTACCTATTTAAAATTAAGGTGTGGAGAAGTACAAGGGAGGGGGTTGACACATGACAGATGTCTGTATTGTAAAAATGTTTTGAATTTGGAGTAAAAATCGACTAGTTTTAGCATTTTCTTAAAATCCAATTATTAATGCTGAGAAACGGGATGAAACTGTTTTAAGTGACCCACTCTGTATATCAAAAATATATTGAATTATATCATGAAACAAAATGTGCCTAAAAATGCATTTTTTACAAGATGCGCTACATAAGAAAGATCCTTCCATCGAAAAAAAATATTGAACGAAGCGCCATCTACATATTGACCTATTTAAAATCAAATTATATCTAAAACTAAAGCTTTCTTAGTGCTCTGTAAAATGGCTGTTACAGAATTAAAATATCTCTATTACTTACCAAAATATCCGGCCTGGGAGTTTTTATTGGAACACCCTGTATACCTACCTATTTATTTTCTAAAATAGGCCCAAATTGAAAATACATATAAAAGTATTTAAAAAGATGTGTGTGATATGATAAAAACTTAAAAAGGACAATATTTGTACTTAATCTAGTCTGGTTCTGACAGATATATAATCTATTAATAAATATACTTATAAATTTATCCAGCGTTTAAAAATAAATAACTTTTTTATAAAAAAATACATTATTTACTTACCTATAGAGGTACCAAGTTGGTTCAAAATTAAGACTACACAACACAACCGTTTCCAGTAAACAAACTCGAATTTCAAAACACGTCAAAACCTTTTGATGTTACCGCTTCTGAACGGGACTCGAGAAACAAAACTCTAACTGTCAGCAAAACACGCCAGTCTTCAAAGAGTTTGGGAAAAGTTGCAGTTTTGTTTTTCTCGACACGAGTTTGTGTTTAGTTTTTGTTTTGTCCGTTTAGTGGAAAACCGCCATAATATTTGGACCCCGTTATGCAACAGGGAACCAACTAGCAAAAATGTGTTTCTGAAGAAAATTGAAAATAAGATTTTTGTGATCACCTTAAATTATAATCCTTTAAAAAGAAAAAAAATATTAATTTTTATTATTTTATTTTCTCACAACTCTAGTAAGTCAAGAATCACAAAATTTTTCATTACAATAAGAAAAAAAACACGTGGTTCCTTGTTGCAGTATTCCTTTTTCGAAGGCATCAGTCTTCTTCTATCTCGAAATCTAGCTCCCCATTGTATCCCTGTAGGTCCTCCTTTATTGTATTATCACTAATAATATTAACATAAAAGGGATGGTCGGCCAAAGGAATTAGGTACAGATAACTCTCGATATCCTTCAGTTTAGCTTCCGCTACAGGCTTTCCATTGGGCCAAAGAGGTTGCAAATGCCGAGAGAATGGTGTTTTTTGTGGCTTACCCTTTCCCTTTTTAATATCAATTTCTTTGTAATCGGTGTCGGTGTCTTCGTAGGTATTTTTGTTAAATATACTATAAGGTTTTTCTTTTAAAATTTTTATTTCTTTAATCTTTAACCAATTTATCTTTTTTTCCTGGCGGGATTTTTTTCTATTACATATTTCTTTTTCAAGCTTCAGGGTACTAACAAAGACTGCCTTTTTCATGGATACTACCTCAATGGGGTGCTTCCTTCTACAGGATTTCATAACTTGGATGTAGTCTTCAGGAGAGTACATTTTAGTATGCCTTTTGAGGGCGCATTCCACATCACCAAAATCACTGTCATTGGGCAAGAAACTATACTCCGACACTAAAAACCGAAACCCTGTACTTTCGAGGTGTGTGGATACTTCAAAGCATTTAGTAGCATTATCTTCAATATTGTGATTTAACTTTTTACTATTGTTAAATTTTTCAAAAGGTTCCTGTAATTCGGAACTTCGGTGTCCATTATCTGTACTAGTATTTGAAACGCACTCTTCTAAGCCCTGTAAAAACATAAAACAACTATGAGTTAACAGTCCTAAGTATACTTTTACTGATATTGAATTATTAGCAAACTGACAGAACAAAAACCCCCTTCTACTAAGTTGCAGTATTTAGTATCCATACATTCATCAGATATAAAATGGGGGGCGCTACTGACTTTGTTTGCACATAACTTAACTATATTCTAGTTAAAAAAGATACACTTACTGTGATGGCTTCGGTCTCCAGTTCACCAGTGCTTTTAGTAGAAATTTGTGGGCTTATATTCCCAACAATCTGTAAACCCTGTAAAAAGGTAATATTGCAATAAGGAACCAACCTTCACTTTTGAGCACATAAAATTTGCAATAAGAAACCAACTGCACTTTTGATCAAATATATCAAATTGCTTTAAATTTTAAGTGCAAATAATGGTTAACATAATCTAGAATTAGTACTGTAAACAGTACTCACTACTAAAATAAGAAAACAACAATTTTTACAAGAACATTAATTGTTGAGGTTATGATTTCAATGGTATAGTATAACAAAAAAAAAACAGATTTTTTAATTGAACTTACCGAAGTGCCTGGGACTTCTAACTTTTTCCATTATTAGTAGTGTTCTGTTCTAATCATTTTTAAATAAATAACCAGCACTACTTAAACACTTGTAGTACCTAATCAACATTCACTTAGGATCCAAAGTTCCAACAAAATAATATGCAAAAGAGATCCAAGAAGCATTGGTTCTCCCAAAATAAAAACATAACAAATGCTGCCTTGCAATAAGGAACCAACTTTAATTGGATCTTTCTTGAAAAATACAGAAATCACGCTTTAAAATGTTCAGTTGGTTCTTTAGACCAACAGATGGCGTCAGTATCAAATCAGTGCCTGGTTCTTTGTTACAAAATGTGGGATGCAGTTTTATGGTTTAGAAGAACTGGGTAACTCATTTTTGACCAAAATGTCGTTTGGTTCCTTGTTGCATAACTGGATCCAATTGATACTGATATAAATCTAATTAAGTAATGTTTTGATTAACTTAACATTCAGTTAGCCTATTTTCAATAAAATCAACTTTTCTTTCTGCCGTTTTATCAAGTTTTTTTTTCTAATCTATGTGCAGTTCTAATTTTCACATATATTTCTGCTTGAAAATTTAACAAAATGTCTGTATATTTAAATATATCAGGATATGATTTATAAAAACATTCGTTAAATTTCTAGTAAAATGATTCGCATGCGTTTGTAGTATATATAAGAGATGATGGATTTGAAGCCCACATGTAAGGTGGAAATGTTGAATCTTCCGTTAAATAATTATCAACTAGGTAATCACAAAATTGGAAAACTCTGTCATCTTCTGGCATAATATTAAAAAGTTAATGAGAAAACAAATCACCAAGTGAATTTGGATCTAAATAAGGAATACAAAAAAACAATTTTAAATATTTTCCAATAACAGTTTGATTTTAATATTCCGAGGACAAACCTATATTTTGAATTTTTCTTAACCAATTTTGTGTTAATTGAAATTTGCAACAAAAAATAATAATGTCGGGCCACACTAACTTGGCTGAATTTTGAATTGATATTTTAATATCAGAAATTATTCCCTTCGGTTTGAAATTCAAATCTGCACATATTGTTATTAATGTATCAAAAGTACTATTGTACGATTACTGTGATTTATTTGTTAACAAACAAAATACTAGAGGAACATAAAAACCATTTTTGTAGCCATGTATAGTAAATATCTGACAAAAATATTTAGAACAGTATTGAAAAGTTTCATCTACATACAAAGAATCTACATAACATAAAAAGTGAAGATTTGAGAAACAACTAAAAATTGCGGAATTATTTTTCGTAGATAAAAAGTTTGTACCTATATATGTTTTTAAATTTAAGGTTACTTAACACTTGTAGAACTTCTTCCTGTGACTTGGACAATGGTTGTGTGGATTTTTTTTTAAAGGTATTTCACATATATCTACTACAACTTTTCTCTTTATATAATTACTAAAAATTTGCTGGTCAACGTGGGTACCTGGAGCATGATTATGCTCCACTGATGCTTTTTCAAGAATTACGAAATTTTCATCACCTTCTTTTGTATACACTTTTTGTTGACACCCTTTATTGATGCTTCGCCATCTAACTTTTCTATCTTTGGCGACATGGGCCTTTGAATATTTCATAGTAGTTGGATTCGCCATTTAAAAGTTAAACACTAATAGCACGAAACAAATACTAACAGAAAAAAATATACCGTAATAATTGCAATAACTGAAAATATTTATCTTCTTTTAAATTTATCCCTACTCTTTCAACTATAATCAAATTTGGTTTTCCTAAATACCGACCAATAAGAAATATTAAAATATAATAATTTGCTTCGGAATTTATCCCTCTCTTGCAATTATAACGAAATGTGTTTTTCTCAAATCCACAACTTTCTTGCAGGTGGGACAGTAAGTACTTGGGAATAATATGTTCAGGTAGTTCCGTGGGGCAGTTAGTATTTACCGATGCAAACCATCTAGGTTTCCTTTAATTTAAGGATATAAAATTATTCTGCCATAGCATCCTTTTATTTCTCAACATAATCACAGCTTATAGCTTCTGTGATGTGAGTGTTTTTGGATCGTCTTCGTTGCATAAGCTGTTTTTTTTTTGGCATAGGCACATTACCATTCAGCCAGACACAGATTCGTCAATAATTAGAACTCCCCTTGAATATTTTCTAACAGCAAGAGGTTTAAGAAGAAGAAAAATAAAAAACAATATAGGACAGGGACACACGCTTCTCGTCCAGGGACCCGTCAGGGCGTTTTTTTTAATAGACAAACAAAATTAGGCCTCGGTAAGAGGGTAAACAAATAGGTATATTACAGAGGAAACAAGATTAAGATTCCAATCCTAGATAAATCTTGGTGTCTTTCAGAAATTGTAAAAGGCAATTGATAATATCATCAGAAAAATGTGTTAAAGCTGTTTCAATATTTTAAGGGGGATGGAATGTTATTTTTTATAAGATACATATAAAGCGTTTTTGAATGTACTCCGTATTTATTGCATTCGAAGAAAATGTGATTAAGGTCTCCAGTTGTTTCACAAAAGTCACAATTTTCATCTTCCTTTACTTTGATTTTAAACAAATGTTTGGGATAAATGGCCTGACCAAATCTAGTTCTTATTAAAGATGTAATGTAGTGTCTTGCAATTATATGATTTTTAAACCAGGATGAGTTTGGAATATGTCTTTGAATTTTAGTGTACTGATTTGAATATGTGGAACAGAATTGTGACCAATCATGCCTCCATTTTCTAATATTGTTGGATTTTATCAAGGCAACAATATCTGGGCTACAGATGTTATGAATGGTATTAGTTCCCTTTTTTATTGCAGATTTTGCTAGCATATTAATATATTCATTGTGTTTAAGTCCAATATGAGCCTTTACCCATATAAAGCATATCTTTACGTTATTATTAATTAGTTGGAACAATGCCTTTTTAAACAAGAAAATGTATGGATTTAAATTAAAATTTGGAATATCAAGAGCTACAGCCGATTTTAAAACAGATAAAGAATCTGAAGCAATTAGAGCTGATTTAGTGTTAGATTTTATTACAAATTGTAAGGCTTTTAGTATCGTTATCGCTTCTGCAGTGTGACTAGAAAAGTTATCAGGTAGTTTGTAAAGAGCTTTAATATGAAGAGACGGGACGTAGTAGGCGCAACCAGTGCCTAGGTCTGACTTGGATGCATCGGTGTATATAACAGTATGTTCGGGAAAGCTATTTAGGTTACAAAGGAGTAGATTTGAACAATTATAAGGATTTTTAGTAAAGAAGCAAGGAAAGTCGGATGTAATAAAGAATTGGTCGAAAGAACCTAGGGAGTCGAACGCTATCTCACAATTTTGATCAGCTTTACATAACGGCGGCGAGTTTTTATAAATCCAGTATTTATTTGTTAGATCATATGAGTCATTCCATTTAAAATCGTCTAATTGGTAAAGCTGATCCAGCTTAGATTTTGGTGTAACTTCGAGGAACTATTTCTTAGGGTCTCAAAGAAGAAAATATACACGTGTTTGATTTTTATAAGTACTTGTTTCCGCCTATTTAAATAAAGACTTTTTAAAAAATCGATATTTTTAAGCCTTATCGACTTTTTCTCTGAATTTTGTCTTTTTAAAGCGGAATTCTGAGGGGGAAAGATAGTAGTTTAAGTGTAAGCGTCGATAAATTGCTCAGTCAATACCTCTGATTAACGGCAGCGTGCTGAAATTTAGTATTTTTTAATAATTTTTCGTGAATTTCAATCGACTCTAGCGTCTTAACTGCTAAGACCTAGCAGCTTATGTTCCTTAGGAATTAAATGTATATATCGTAGGTAAAATACAGCCTAAGCTCACTTTTTGCAAAAAAAACTTTGAAGTTTTGAAATTTTCAAAAATTGCATTATTCAGGTTATATAATGAACGTGTTTACTGCCAGATAAAAATCTGAAACTCTCAGAATCTACTGTTCTTACCTTTAACTTTAAATAACCGTACCACTTATTTGGTTATTTTTATGTTTAGTGCATGTGCAAGTCGTTTATTATAGCAAAAATCAACTCAATTTTTTATTTCTTTCCAAATAACTACAAGCAAAACAATTACTTGTGTTTTAAGAATTATTTTATATTATTAATTTTTGAATGCAATTAAAACATACTCCTAATTAGTGGCAACATAATTTTTATAAAAATGTTACCAAATTTTTTACTAGATGGATTGAAATTTGGGTGTTCCCATATGGAACCTCTAGGCGTTTTGCAAAAAAAATGAGATTTGTTAGGAATATTTATTATTTACAGTGGAATCACGTTACAAAAAGCCTTGGACATTGCTTATGAATCGGATTCAGATACTGAAGTTGCAGTGGTATTTATAGAACCCCCAGAGAGCCACGTACTAACTGACGAGGACTCCGCTGATGAAGACGATAGAGGTTTGGCTGATAATCTTAGTTCCCGACAGCTTACTTCTGGAGCCAAAATACGTTTTACGAATTCTAGAAGAATTGGTGGAATCGCGGAAGATTTGAACAATGATTTATGCCATAAAACTACGGTGGGTATAAGCAGTAACGGTAACTTGATAGAAGAAAATATAGGAAATATACCCACCAATAATAATGAACGAACTAAAAAAAGTGCCTTGAAATTTGAGAAAGTCCCACCTAATCCTGAATTTTGTGACGCAGACTAAGTATTTACTGAGCATTACTTTCCAAAAGAAAATTACGATATGTACAAAAATATGACCTTTTGTGAACTATTTGAACTTTTTTTTACTGATGAGTTATTACATATTATTTCTCAGCAGACAACAAATTATGCAATTTAAAAATTGTCCTGATCCACAGGCAACCGTGGAAGAGTTAAGAGTTTTTATAGCCATTTTGTTAGTAAGTGGCTACAACGAACTTCCTTCAAAACGTAGTTATTGGGAATCTTCAAAAGACATGCGAAATGATATGGTATATGAGGCAATGAGGAGATCGATTTTTACAAATTTGTCGCTTTCCCCACTTTGCTGATAATACCGCTGTTGATCAAAACGACAAAATGTGCAGGCTCAGATCCCCAACGGATTACTTAAAAAATACATTTCTGGAACACTTTGTACCCGAACCAAACTTGTCGTATGATGAATCGATGATTCGTTATTATGGACGTCACGGATGTAAACAGTTCATCCGTGGAAAATCAATAAGATTTGGGTACAAAATTTGGTGCCTAAATAAGCCAAGCGGATATTCAGTGAATTTTGAGATATATCAGGGCAAAAATCCAAGGTCAAATAATTACTAGACGCATTTTGGCAAATGTGCAGCGCCTCTTGTTTAAATGGTTGATGATTTGATAAACATCAATAAATCATTTCGATACAATATATTTATAGACAACCTTTTTACTGACCCAAATATTTTCTATGCACTAAAATAAAATGGTTATGGTGTCACAGGAACAATTCGCGAGAATCGCGTTCCTAGGGAATGTCCACTAACTCTCGAAGCTATTATGAATAAGCAAAATAGAGGAAGTTATTCCACCACACTTGAAAGAAAAAGTGGAATCCAATTCATTCGTTGAAAAGATAACAGCGTTGTTACCTTAGCTAGTACTACTTATGGAGTGCAGCCAATTCAAAACGTTGACCGCTTTTCCCGTTCAGAAAAAAAAAAAAGGTTCCAATTGCAAGACCACATGCTATATTACAATATAATAAAAAATTTGCTACAACACATTTAATAATGAGAAAGTAAGCAAAAACCGTTTTAGCGTTCCTTTTTATTGATATGACATAAAAAAATGTAAAAAAAAATTATAGAAAACATTATAAGAAGTAACTTTTATTTGAAGAATTTTCTTCTTTACTATTTAAGATTAGACCAAGATATTTTGCATACTTCGTTCTTCTCCAAACAGAATAGTAGACATTGAACTTTTTAAGTATAGGGTTTGTGTTCTCCCTTTTCAGGGTTTAAGATAAGTTTTCTTTAACACACCACATTTTTGTCAGCATTACAGCTCGAATGTTATGATATCACTTTGCATAAGTTTAAATACTGTTGTTTATTATTTCTCTTGTATAAGGATGATTTTATTATCGGTATATCCTTAATTAATCTGCCACTAGATCTCACAGTAGATTAAATGCAACTCCAATATATTTAATCTCTATAAGAAATTTAGTTTAATATTTAGAAGTGTAGGATCTCTTTTTTCAATTTCTTATCATTGTGAAGTGAAATATGTTTGTCTCTTCACGACTAATACGGGTATAATGAATATTTTACCGAAACTTTCATGCAAACTTATTTACTAACATCAATAGAACTTCAGAACTTATAAATGTTGTCATTGTTTTTCTCTGGCCCCATATTTATATACCCTCAAGGTGGTAGACTGTTGAACTGTTAAAAAGTCTTTTATAAAATTTCGTTGTATTTCTAGCTGGAAACTAAATTAAACGTAGACGAGTAACGAAATGGTCAAAAGCACAAAATCCAATTTATATTTTGAATAATACACTAAGAGCCAGTCGAGCGCGAAAACCTCCAGGCGGGTTCTTTAATAAATAACAACAGGTAACAACTTAGAAGACGTTGTGGATCGAATTACATTTTTATAAATGATATCCGGCGGTACAACAAG